AGCATCCCGCTCCACTGGCAACGACCCCGTTGGCCAGCAGAAACCCACGGTGTCCTCTCTGCACCCGAGCGCCGGTGTTACCTGCTGCCCCGCCGCTGCGGGGGCACGCTCGTGCTCCAGAGCCACCGGGCCCGCTCCCTCTCCTCACACTTGCCGTGCCGAGCAGTGAAGGCGGAGTCAGACAAATCCTCGATCTGGAGAAGGAAGAGCACAGGCCGCGGTCAGAGCTTTCTTACATTACAAACGCAGCTACCTGCCGTCTTCCCACGTTTATGTCTGGAGGGAGGCAGATGCCGTTAGTGAGTGCGAGAGCACCTCGTTAAACAGAGCCTGCGCTGCTTAGGAAGAGACTAATCTAAAAGCCGAGGGAAAGTCACGTATCCCGGAATGAAAGCAGGCACGCAGCGGTTCAAGGAAATACCATCATTATCAGTTCCGCTAAAATAACAACTATTGCGGCGCGACTGGTCGTGATTTCTTGATTAGACTATTCCATCCAACAATTGGTGCCCAGAGGTCTCCTGACAGCAATCAGACCTCAGGTTCAAATCAGTCCAACTTCTGCCTTGTCACGCCTTTCCCGAAAGGGAACCACCACCAGGCTGGTTTCCGAAAGGCCAACTGTGCTGTTTTGTCGCAAGAAAAAGAGAGGCTTCACACCTCCCTGCTGAGGCCCCGGCACCCGCTCCCCGCCGGCCACCCCCCCCCGCTCCCTGCCGCCATCCTCCACAGACGCCGCTCAGCCGCTACGAGCCCTGTCCCACATTTGCTCGAGAAGAAAACTTCTTACCTCCTCGTTGTCTTCATCCGGGTTCGTTTTCAGCGCGCTGATATCCACTTCACGCCAGCTGCAACACACAGCGCCAGAGAGAGTCAACCCGGGGCACAGCCCCGCATGCGCCAACGCTGCCCCTTTTGGGAAAGGAAAACCATGGGCCTGCCCCGATGAGCAACATATTTAGGCTCAGTTTTAAACCACGCGGCCATGTTTGTCTACCAAAACCCCTCCTGCGGTATCGGACGAGGGTTTCTGCCCTTCTCCTGTCGGGTCGCTCGGCTTCCAGCACATTTTTGCCGAGCGCGATGCTGGGGCCAGGCAGGAGATGTCCCCATGGCAGAGGGAAGCAGAGAAGATGCTGCAGCGTTTCCTCCTCTTCCTCCAGCTCAGCAACAGGCCCAGCTCCCTCCCTGCCCCGCTCTGAAGAGGGGTGGGGAAGAGCATGTGGGACCAGGAGAAAGAAAGAGGGAAGTTCGGAAAGAGCCCTGGAAAGCCAGGAGGGAAGAAGATGACCAGGAACCGGGCAGTTTGGACGAAGAAGCTGCAGCAAGCGCCCATCAAGCACTGAGGTGAGAAACCCAGAAACTGATCCCATCCATGGCGTTAATCCAAGACTATCCCAACAAGGGCCGGGAACTTGCCATCTCGCACTCAGCTCGGGCAGAGAAAACTCCTGATTTCTCCACTGCCTGGGGATGGGAGAGCTGCTCCCGGCCGGCACGACCCAAGGCACCGCAACGTTACCCCGGCCCAGGCACCCAGCACGTCTCCATCAATGAAATGATCACAAGTTTTCCACATTTCTCCTGCTCTCAAGGAAGGAGAAAGGCCCTTTTCCCCAGCAGCGTTAGCAGCCACCAGGTCGGGGCTGAACTTCTGAGAAGCCGCTGAACGCCTGGGATGTGACAAACCCGCGGGAGCCGGGGTCAGGCACGTACCTGGGTGTGAGGATCTCCTTGTACTGCAGCTTCTCCACACGAGTCGTTGCAGCGACGGACATCGGGATGACAATGTTGTTAATATCGAAGGAACTTTCGCCTCTCCTCCTCCTTGGCTGCTGGAACATGAAGACAAGAACCACGTGAACAAGGGCTAAGGGTTTTGTCATTTTAAATCCCTGATGGAAAAAGAACGTGTCCTTGGACAAAGTGGCCTCGGAGCCACGTGAGCTACGTGTGACCCACGGAGACTCCAGACCAACAGCGATTCACATCACAAAGGAAGTCACCTACTGCCGGATGGAAGTCCTCTTCCCAACCAAAAATCCTTAGCCTGGAAGGTGCCACCAAGGCTGAGGGCTGCGGTGGCCCTGCAGGTGCTGAAGCAAGGTGAGCAAGGGCTGCTGAGCTCCAGCCATCAGCTCCCCCCCCCCGGCCCCCGGGCCCATCAGGAGATGGATCCGGCTGCCAAACCTGACCCAGCGAGAAGAAAAGTCTCCCATAAAACCCAGTTCCCTCTTGCCAGCGTAAGGAGGGTGAGGAGACCATCAGGAGAATAAAGAACCATCCTGTTTGGAAACGGGCCCTTTGCTGGTGGCCCTGCAGGGGGCTGGACGTGCCACAGGTGACACTGGGGCCGAGAGGAAGGGGGCACCGTCAGTCAGACAGGAGTTCATCGCGGGGTTTGGCAGCTGTGCCAGCAGCCTAACAGCTTCCATATGCATCGTGCTTTCGACTGGAATAGATTTTCTAAGACAGAAACAAGCTCCACACTTGTCTATTTAAGCCTGGTTGAACGCCGGGTGCTCTCCTACCACCCGTCCATCCAAAAACCTCCCCCCAGCCTGTGACAGCAGCGCTCACGGCGCGGTGACACGAATCCTCCTGGATCAGTCTGAGGCACCAAGGGCTCGTCTTCCTAACGGACTCACTGGCCGTTCCCCACGTGTTCCATCTCCTTCGATCTCTGCGTCTTTCAGTGTAAAAACACACGAGAACCCGACTGCTGGGGGACCCGTCATGGCCAAAACCCAGGACCCGGGTGAAGCTGGATGAGGATGGAGTGGGCGGGTGGTGAGGAAATCCCAGCAGGTCCCTGTCAGCGGTGAGGACCGACCCACCAGCTGGGGAGAACATGCAAACCCGCACCAGCACTGGGCTGCTTGAACCCAGGACTCGCAGCCTTGAGCCTGCAATGCTCTTGCAGGACTCTTCTGTGGAAGAGAAGACGCTTCACCTTGCTTTTCGGAATGAGCGTGTGAAAGAGCAGTGGAAAAAGCAGCGAGACCAAGATACGTGTGGTGAAGCACAAGGAAATGTCATTGTCACACGCCGGAGGTGCTGAGCAGAGCTGTCCTCCAAAACATTCAAGCCAAACTACCGCTGCTCTGTGGGTTCTTCCGACACCCTGTGCCACCACAGGGTGTTCACTGATACCACAGCTGATGATGCAACAGCAAATTCTGCAGCGAAGGAACCCAGCCGGGATCTGGCAGCCCCAGAGCAACGAGCTTGGAGCAACGACAAGGGCACACAAGGTTGAGCTGCAAGTGGTGCCCTCACCTCTGCTGAGAACAGATGCCTTTCAACGACGCTGCTTTCAGTCTAAGGGTTCAAGGAGACCTGCTCCGTTATCCCTGGGTCACATTCAGCTTGGGCTGTGGCACGGACGACCAGCTGGAGTGGCCAGAGGCCAGGTTCTTCACTGGGACACTTCAAGAATGCAGTCCTTTAACCAAGGGCATCTGTTCCCACGGGTCGGGCTGGGAGGACAGATGACGTCTGTCGAAGGAGCTGTGTCATCGATCCCTCCCGCAGCGCAGCGGGAGGCAGCTACGGTCCTGCTCACCAACAGCTTCAGAAGGTCCCAAATCCTGTCACCCTTTAGCCTTCTGGGGGGCTGAGCGTGTTGCAGAAGGCAGGACGGGTTAAGCGACTGCTGACACGTGTGTACAGGTGCAAGTTAAGATCTGGAGCACCAGTGCTGTGCCACTGCCCTGCGACAGCCCCAGGGCCACCGAGGCCACAAAAGCAAACTGTCACGGTTGAAGCACCGTAGTGCCAGGAGCTGCTGGTGCTCAGCTCCTCTACTTCTCCTCCTGACATCCTCAAATAACTTCAGAAACCAAAACCATGACGTGGAGCAAAGCCAGGGGACTACTCCTGCACTTACCAGCAGTTACTGGGCTGACAGCAAACCTGTAACTGCAGCTGTTTGCGCAGCCACCATCCACCCAGGAACCCCGTCAGAATCAAGTGAAAAACCTGGGCCAGCAACCCCACCACTGGCTGAACCAACAGGTCCAGCGTGGTAAAATGCTGAGAAGATGCTTGAGATGCTCAAATGCTGAGACCTCATGATGGAGCCAAGCTCCAAAACTTTTCCAGAACAGCACGAGGTACTTACAGCTGTGCCAGAGGTGCCCTGTGAGCTGGTGCTGGCCGGAGCGGAGCCTTCCGAGGAGGTGGACAGTTGGCGCGCTATGGGGCTGTGAGGTGCAGGAGTCGCGGCCGCCGTCAAGTAGCTCGGGCCACCAACATCCGCGTGATGCTTCAACACTGCACGAGGAGGGGTGGGAGAAAAATCAAGAATGACGTTAGCAAAAAAAAAAAACAACCAACCAACCCCAAAAGCAAAGGAGGGTGGTGGTGGTGGATAGAGAAGGCCCACGTGCACCAGAAAGGGCCAGTGCTGAGGAGCGACCCCTGCGTGAAAGAGAAGCACCTTCCGACGGCGGGCACCTGCTCGAGAGGCCCTGG